GAGAGAGAGAGTGTGTGTGTGTGTGAGGGAGAGAGAGAGAGAGAGTGTGTGTGTGTGAGAGAGAGCGAGAGAGAGGGGGAGAGAGTGTGTGTGTGTGTGTGTGAGGGAGAGAGAGAGGGAGAGAGAGAGAGAGAGAGAGTGTGTGTGTGTGAGCGAGAGAGCGAGAGAGAGTGTGTGTGTGTGTGTGTGTGTGTGAGGGAGAGAGAGAGAGAGAGAGGGGGTGTGTGTGTGTGTGTGTGTGAGAGGGAGAGAGAGAGAGAGAGTGTGTGTGTGAGAGAGAGCGAGAGAGAGGGGGAGAGAGTGTGTGTGTGTGTGTGTGAGAGAGAGAGAGAGAGAGAGAGAGAGAGAGAGAGAGAGTGTGTGTGTGTGAGAGAGAGAGAGAGTGAGAGAGAGAGAGAGGGAGTGTGATCAATTGTGATCAAGTGTGTGTGTCTGTCACTTTTGATCAATTAAATGTTACGTGTACTGTATGTGAATAGTTTTTAGTCAGTCTGAAGAGTCAGTCTTTCTACCCATGTTTACAGCTCCTAACCCAATCTAACTTTCACAAAGCACTGTATGATTGTGTTTAACGGTAACTCTGGGATCTCAGGGCGGTCTGCTTTGTGACGACATTATCACAGGCTCTAACAGAGACCTTTTCTAGGGCACTTTTCTTCCGTATCTGACTGCCAAAGCCACCGACAGAAGTTTAACTCAGAGAAAGAGGTGGAGAAACGAGAGAATGGCAGATTAAAAAGGAAAACAACTAGTGGGATTTTGCATGCGGGGCCGCCAGGGGCCCATTCTCATTCTCCAGCGCCGGGATATTGTATCTGGCCAACAAAGACGTCGCCCCTCATTAAAAATACATGTCATCGGATCACACCTCCACTGAATCGAGAGACTGTGAGCTGCATTAAGAGGCCGTGACTGTGCGCTGAATGGGAGCCGCATCCCCGCAGCGGGCCGGGGTCAGAGGTCACCGACTGTCTGTTAAAGCCCTGAAATCTTTTATTCTGCATCCACTGCAGAAACCAACTCTCAGCGGAGAGAGAGAGACAGAAACTCCAGAAAACTACAAGGAAATTCTGCATATTCCTGAATTTACAGCAATTTCACAGATTACAAGATTAAAAAAGAAAATGTGTGTTTATCAGGGTCAGACATGAACTTTTCAGTAAGGACTATTTTCATTAGTGTGAACTGATTTATATTTTTTCCCCCTTGAAATGGCCATTTTTATGATTACCTTATTAAATCTGTGTTGTTTTCAGGGTTATTATGGTTAACTAAAACTAAACCTAAACTAAAATTAATACCAATTAAAAAAAAAAACATTTTCAATATTTCATATAAATGAAACATTAACTGAAAAATTAAACATTAACTGAACAAAATTAAGCACTGCTTGGTGATTGGTTGAGCTAAATTGGTTTTATCTAATTGTGTTCTTAAATTTAACAGCTGAAATCTATTCAATATAATTCATTCCATACCTTGCTATCAAAGTTATCTGACATTATCACGATGAATTTGTTCTGACACAGTTTAGGATGAGTTTTTATCATATTTTATTACCATTTTCTAAACTATAGCAAATAAACTGTGATAATGTGAGAAATGTTGAATGTGTCTGAATACATTTTGGTTTGATTGTGTGTGTGTGTGTGTGTGTGTGTGTGTGTGTGTGTGTGTGTGTGTGTGTGTGTGTGTGTGTGTGTGTGTGTGAGTGTGTGTTTGTCTGTGTGTGAGTGTATGTATAAACTTTACTTCTCATTTAATTTAGTTTAACTTTATGTACTAAAATAACTAACTAAAACTGGGGAAAAAAGTATAAAAACTATACAGACATATATTTAAAAAACAAAAAGTACTAAAAATGACAAAAGCACAGAACAAAATTACTAAAAGTTTAAGTAAAATTAAAATAAAAACAGAAAATATAAAAAACTGATTCAGAATATAAATAAAAACTATAATAGTATCTTGATACTAAAATAATAATAATAAGAAACAATTATTTACATCAATCAAAATAATCCATAATAACAATAAAATTGTTATTATAATAAAAAAAGGGCATCTCCTGCTGTCTCTCAGATCAAAATCCAGCCACATATTTGTTTAGAGCTGTTTTGGCTTGTAAACGCTGCTTGATCTGTGCAGATTTCTCTCCTGATTCAGACCAGACCACTTTTTCACTGGAGGAAGAGTTATTATGCATTATGGACTCGTATGTTAGTTAAAAACGTCTTAATGGATTTGTTTTGTCTTCTCCAGATGTTAACTGATGGACTGGAGTGCTGTGGATTATTGTGATGTTTTTATCAGATGTTTGGACTCTCATTCTGACGGCACCCATTCACTGCAGAGCATCCATTGCTGAGCAAGTGATGCAATGCTACATTTCTCCAAATCTGATGAAGAAACAAACTCATCCTAATCTTGGATGACCTGAGGATGAGCACATTTTTTTAAACCAAATTTTAATTTTTGGCTGAACTATTCCATTAAAACACAACTTCTCAGTACTGGTCTGTACTATTTCGGTATCAGACACTTCCGTGTGTTTGTGATTCGGGTCAAACTATTTCTGCTGACCAGTCGGCAGCTCTGGGAGCCTCCGGAGACATGGGGAATGAGGCCGAGCGCTGAGCTCACAGCAGCTGTCTCTCGTCTGTGCCGTGATCTGCACTACAGTTTTAATAGACCATTTTCAAGTAGCTTTTCATTAATCGTTTGTACTGTTTCATTCTGTGAAAATGCACAGATATAGATACTAAAATCTGAAACAGTAAAGTTTGTGACAGTCGTTTCTTTATATATTGTATTGTAGTGGCTGAATATATAGAATGATATGGATTTTTTGAAAGAAATTAATACTTTTTCTAAGCAAGGATGCATTAAATTGGTCAAAAGTGACAGTACATTTTTTTTATTCATATATCTGTCTTTGGTTTCGGTACATGTCTTTTTTGTTGTTGGTGGTGTTGTCTGTTCATTTTTCTGTACTTTGTCTTGTCTACTGTCATTTTTAAATTGATCACATTAAAGGCAAAAAAAAATAAATATATATATATATATATATAACTGCTTTGAAACAAAAAAAGTGAGAGTAAAGACATTTATAATGTTATACAAGATTTCTATTTCAAATAAATGCTGTTCTTTTGAACTTTCTATTCATCTGTGAATCCTGAAAAATAAAATGCATCACAGTTTCCACAAAATATTGGGCAGCACGACTGTTTTCAACATTGATAATAATCAGAAATGTTTCTTGAATCATTAGAATGGCTTCTGAAGATCATGTGACACTGAAGACTGGAGTAATGATGCTGAAAATACAGCTGCGCATCACAGAAATAAATTACAGTTTAACAGATATTCAGATAGAAACACTTATTCTAAATGATAATAATATTTCACAATTTTTACAATATTTTTGGTCAGATAAATACAGCTTTGGTGAGCAGAAGGAACAAATAATCTTACGCATC